TAATTGTTCTAACAACCTTTTGCCACGGGTTTGCAAGTATCGCTGCCTTCATACAAATACGCAGTATTGCATAATACTATAATTTTGAACTAAGTGTATAGCGACGATCAGAGCGAGCGAAATCTTGTCGTGAATAAGCACCAATCTTCTTACGTATATTTTTTGTTCAACGTAGGAAAATTTCGCTCGCTCTGCTCGTGGCTGCATGCTTAGTTCAGAATTGTAAGATTCTCCAATACTGTGTTATTGTGTAAATGCAACGGTATATTACCGCCTGCCGTTCAGTTTTTGTGGCTAACAAACTACTATGCAGAACTGCCAATATATTGTGATAAAGATTATATCTTTTACAGATAAGTTTATCGTTGCTCACCTTTTATATCACCTTTTTATATTGGTGTAGTTACAGGAACATGGGACTTGTCAACTTTATGTTTCAGGTTCTGAATGGCCAGAAACCGTTATGGACAGGCATTATCCTTACCACCACGCGCATAACTGTTCGTTCCATCACTTCGTATTATAAAAAAAAATACACTTAATATTTCTTTTTCTATTGTCATAATAAAGAATACATCTGTAATTGTCGGTCTCTGGGGTCGAGTGGCTTGCACACTGGTTTTCATGGCGTCGCCATCTCTGAGGTCCCGGGTTCGATCCCCGTTCAGCCACGGAGGCAGTTATAGTTCTAGTTGTAATAAAACGGAAGTGTATATAGCTGTCATATTGCATCCATATTCGGCAAAACCGTATACTATCTCAGCATGCACGGTGCGTTCTGACCACAGAACACTATACGTTCTGACATTATTGCGTGCGCCATGCTCGCTGTTGAGATCAATTTTCAAGATGGCGGTTATCTTAAATTTCACATACGGATTTGTATATCAAATGCTGTACCTACCTTATTAACAGGATGACATAATTAATGGGAAATCAATATTGTTTTGGAGTTGTAAATTGTATTGTAATTTAACCGTTTACAATATATGTATAGTGTGACTGAATAATAATGTAGTAAATGTATTATTTCTGCCACCAAGCAGTTATGCGAGCATTTCTACTATTCAATTTTGAAGATTAAGAGTGCTGGTGAAATTACAGGCACATGAGACCTTGTCAACCTGTCCCAGAGTGACAGGCGCAGTGGCGATGTCCCTCAGGTCTTTGTGATTAAAGCTCTTAATAGCATTGTAACTGCTATGGACAGACGTGTCGCTTACCATCAGGCGCACGACTTGTTCATCCCGTAACTTAGCACCACAATAATAAAGTAATTACTCGTAGTCATACTAACACTAGAGACAGAGACGGCCGATGTCCGCAAAATGAATAAAAAAGAAGGATATAAGGAAAGGGGCAAAAATAAGGAAATTTAAACAAAGCAACTAATCACCGAGTCGGTTTTATTTTCCACTAATATTTTCTCTAATCCTCTAATTTTTTTGCGCCCCCGTCCGTTTGTGTAAAAAAATCTGAAAAATTATCGCCCTTTTTCACTCCGATGAGCCATAATTAATTATTTTCCGAAAGTAATTACGGCGGGTAAAATTTGGAATTGTTTAACGCGTTTTTATTTAGGAGGTTTTCAATGTACTTAGTTGGTTTATTAACTTCAATATGCGAGTTATTCATATAGCAACATTGACTTACAATTATATGGACGTCGGGTCCGCGCTAAAAAGTGTCCGAACTTATAGGGCGTTAAAATCGTATACAGAGCGCCATTCACGCTTTAGTCTTCGTTTGTTCGACTGACAGCGAAGCAAGCAAAATTAGACAGCACTGCGATGACATTACAATTTAAATTCAACGTTTTAGCTTTTTCATAGTCCTTTACATGTCACTACGTTTAAATAGGCTGACTTGGGGCATTTTTTTCGTGGTTTTTGTATTAGACCCGTCGTCCATTTATTTGTAAGTCAATGTATAGCATTATAATATAATGTACGCAACGTGATTATTAACAGTAGCAGTGCCGCTAATAGCTTTAAATTGCAAAGACCTGAGGGGCATTGACTGCGCCTGTTACCCTGTGATATATACATTGGCAAGTTCATGTCCTTGTAGTTTCAACAGCGCCCTCACCTTTGAAACTGGAACGCAGTAATGTTCACTGCTTGGTGGAAAACTTTTACAAGTAATTGTTCTAGTACTAAATGTCCTAGTTTAAAATAATTTGTGTAAAAATGAGTTAAGTATTTTTTGTACTTAATACCTATTTGTAAAGATGTTTATGCAAAGAACAATTATCCATACAAAGTCTAAATATGAAATGATCCAAAAATGCGAAGCCCAGACCCGTCCTCTTGCGTGAGTTCGTTCACAAGGAGCTCTACTGGTAATAAAACTTTACACGGACAGCCTTTAAACTTTATTATATTACTTAAGGTAGACGTAGTTGGTGTATTAATGTAGTAGTTGTAGAGCTCATACAAGGAAGTACTCGGGAAAGTGTTCATAGAAGGGAGTACTGCTACCTTACTTATGTCTACACTTGGCGTTATAAAAAAAATTAAAAAAAGTGTTTTCTATTAGATTTCCTTCTTCTTCTTATTATATTTGTATTTATTTAAATATTCTTTAACATCCGCGCTAGCACGCAGAGCGATATTTCTGTTCTCACGCTTCTATGTAGCTTCTCGTGCAAGTTCTTGCCGTGCTAGCGCTGCAGGAAAGAGTTCCTCCAAAAACAAGCACCTACTTTAACAATAATTACTTTTCCCGTTAAAAACGCGAATTGGCGACACTTGAGGCCATGGCACCCGCGATATAGGGTTTCCCACAGGACAATACAGTAGTAGTGGTTAGTTGGCGTCTGAGTGTGCCAATTATAGGTCTCGAAAGACCTATCTGAGCTTATTCCGCCATTTTCCCTTTGTGTGGCATGGTTATGTCATTCTTTCGCTCATATTTTTTAAAATCGTAGTAAAATGCTTTATTGTGCTGTTTTGGAGAGCAAAAATGATAGGTGTACCAAAAATCTTACCTAATAAATTTTCATAAATATATTTTTTTCAATTTTCTGATTATTTATTCGTTCTGTAAAAATGCTTTCGTGTCCAAAGAACGTATAGCAAAACTAGTGCTGTAAATGTTTTAAATATCGGTTATGTTACTATTTGCTGTATTAAAGGCTTTTAAAAACTACAAAAATTGTTTTTATTTTAAAATTCTTAATAGTTGCTATGTAGTTCGTAAGTAGGTTTTATACGACTAATATGTGACCATATAATAGCTTCTTCGGCAAAAACATGAAACAAATTGAGTGCCGTCGTAAGACGTCTATAATTTATATTCTGTAGGGTCTGGATTGGAGAGAGTAGCAATGGCTTGATCTGAGAGCCGTTTGCTCGCCTGATTGCCACGTCGATGTACATGCGCTAGCTTGAAATTGCCACTTAAGGTAGATATACTGCATACATTTATTTAGCTTAGTGATTTCACTTATATTGTTATCTTTATCTCTTTTTCTTGTCTGTGGACTCAAATAACAATTATTAGTATTTAAAGCTCTTTTAGTGCTACTATAGGACCAAGTAGGTGTTTTTGATACCATTATACCTATAACAGTTGCGCAAATACATTATTATGAGTCATGAAAGTTGAAATATGATAGAAGATTCTTATTGCAAATAATTATAAACTCTAAAATAAACTCTTATTTACGATTCTTCTGAATAAATAAAATGTTTATACAACTTTTATGCCACTCTTAGCTGAAAAAGCAATTTCTTACTTGACAATTTTTGCCGGTTGAGTATTTTTTGTAAAATCGTTTTAATATTTTAATGAGAATTCTTTAAAGAGTCAGTTAGCCGAGTAAATATGCGTATTTAACTTTTAAAGCAATAAACGAGTTCGAGTTATTTTCCCTCTTTCTTAATTGTGTAATAAATGCGATTAGAAGTTTTTTGTTTTTTCTTGTGCCTTTGTTGTTGTTTACATTTTGTAGCGATTGAATAAATTTGATTTTTTTTGTAATTCATTTGCAAACATTTTGTGCTTGAATGTCTTCGTTCTTCTCATCCGTGTGAAAGAGTTCGTCCTGGGGAGTACTGCCACCTTACCTATTTCTGCCGCCGTACTGCGTTCTGCTTTGGAAGTGTGAATGTTTAAATTACAGGCACATGGGACTCTTCAACTAATGTCTCAGGGTAACGCGCGCAGTAGCAGTGCCTCTAGGATCCTTGCTATTTAAAGCTCTGGCGGGCACTGCAACTGTTATGGATAAGCGTGTCGCTTACCACCAGGGGCACGATTTCTTCGTTCCATGACAAGATATTGTAAAAAATAGAGATCCTGTGTTCGATTCCCGTAAAATGGGGGTATATGTGAAATGTTGTCCAAAAGTTTTTCAAAACACATTAACCCGAATTACAACCCCAAGACACGGGGTTGCGTTTTAAAAAGTTAATATATTTTATAAAAGTCATATAAGTTCACTAAAAGCACTATAATAGAGTCTTAAAACTAAAATCTTAGGTTGAATGAACCAACCTGCCAGTTTGAAGTTGAAACTGAAATCTCGAAGCCACCAGCGACGCCGGCGCTGGTCCTGCATCAGCAATTTCTTATCTCTACGTTCAGGGATGAGCACATAACACCCGTGACACTTTGTGGAGGTACGTTGTCCCTAATGACTTCAATATTTTTGTTATACATTTTTTTTGAATGGTGAAATTTCTATATATACATATTTAATGGTGTCATGGACCGCATCAAACACCGCTGCGCTTCGGAGACACCATTTGGGTCCAGGACGCTGCAATACCAAAGCCGTGTCTCTAAGACTCGTGAATTGTTAAAATAAAATGCATTTTTACAACTGAAATGTCTATTTTACCTTGAACATACAGAAAACAATTTTCCTACAAAAAAATTCTTACAAAAATTATAATTTACATGTACAGTCAGCGAGAAAATTAGCTGAATAAATCGAAGATACAAAACTTATTAAAAAAAAACTTATGTGGTCAACAAGGCACGTCAAAGTCCGAAACATGCCAACGTTTAATTTTCTGTGGTACTTATAACCGAAAGTTGCAATTGCGTTTTTTTTAAGTTTATTCATATGCGTTAGAGTACGTTTACAATCTTCCCAGGTGTATGATGCAGACCAATTTAGAGAACTTTGATAGTACGGAACATCATAATTATTCCGTTTTTGTAACTAACTAAGATTGTGGTCAGTAAGTAGCCATTTTACCAGTTGAGCCACTAGGAACACTTTTTCCCAGCTTCTCCATCAGTTAAAATGGTACGTAAGGTAAGAAATGAGACGAGTTTTTGACAAGGTCAATGCTATGCAATCACTTAATAACACTTATTGTTAGAGTTTGATTGAGAGTCAACGAATTTGAATTGTAGGTCCACGTATTCTTCTTCCGGATATAGAAGGATGAACCTGCAAAATGAAATACAAGGGTCATTTCATTCCAATTATCAAAACTTAATTAGCGTGTATTTTAGGAAATGAAACTATTTTTCCGGATTTAAATCGCGTATATTTGTTTTTTCAAACAAACCAACGTTTCGGGCCCTTTACAGGTCCCATGGTCACGGTTGACTGAGGTGGTACAGTCTTCAACCAGTTATGTCTAATATTGATGCAAACCACCCTATTTTTTCAACAGGGAAGATGGTTTCTCCGTACCACCAGTTTGGGATCCAGTATTTCCTCTAATGAAAAATCCCAAACAGACATAAGACTGCAGTACTAATTAATATGTTTTAGTTTATTCTAATTTCTATTAATAATTAATAATAAATTGAACCTAATAAAAATTCATTCAATAAAATAATTTGTAAAACTTAATATAGCGTAAATTGGAATGTTTTCTTTGTAAAATTAAAAATAAGGTATTTAATTAATAATTGTAACTATGTGAAAAAATATGGTGGTTTGCATCAATATTTGACATAACTGGTTGAAGACTGTACCACCTCAGTCAACCGTGACCATAATAATAATAATATAATAATAATAACGCACACACTCAACATAGCCCCGCACTAGGGAAACCCTGTGTCGCGGGTGCCATGGACACACATAGACAACCACAAATTACACCCAAACTCACGAGAGAAATAAATGTAGGCCATACAAATATTTCTCCCGGCCCGGGAATCGAACCTGGGACCTCTGCGTGGCAGTCCGGCATGGTAACCGTTCGGCCACAGAGGCAGTTATGGGACCATGGGACCTGTAAAGGGCCCGAAACGTCGGTTTGTTTGAAAAAACAAATATACGCGATTTAAAACCGGACAAATAGTTTCATTTCCTATGTGTAACAATCGCGAAAACCTAAGAACTCGATATAGCGTGTATTTTATCAGCTTTTTTTTTCAATTAATGATAATAACAATAATGTGTGAGAGAATTGCTTGGACCCCGATTGAGAACTCTTCGATATTTTAAACAAATCCTTTGATTGGGTATCGTTCTCGATTCGAAGGGCGCTTTCCGAGCTATTCATTCGAGTTAATACGTTCGATTCGGATTGGGATACGATATGGTTATCCAACAGCGTTTACGGAGTTAGTCGGTGAGATAGATTATAAGAAAAATGAAAATTCTTTCATATTCATTTTTAACACTATAAAGACCTGAAATATAGGAATGCATTAGTCTTACATGAAATAAATTAATAAAATTGAACAAAATCCAGACTTTATCCGCTCACGCGATACATGCAGCCGTAGACGCATACCACACCTAGACCTCTAGGTGTGGTATGCGTAGGTAAAAGAACTAATACTAATTGCTATTTCGGTAACTACTCTAGCAAACCATAAAGTTTTTAATGCCTGTCATTTAAAAAAAAAATTTTAAAAAATACGCCACGACAATCGTGTGTGTTATTGTTTGGGCTGGTGATTTCGGTGTTTATTTATTGAAAACATACCGTAAGTAGCGTTTTTTAAGTTTACCCTGAATATAAATGTTTATAAACTATACTTTAAGGAGTAATTTCATGGTAAACGTTAGAACCACTCAAACGGAATATTATCATATTTATCCAAGTACACCAAAAATTTCATTAGTGCTTTTTAAGTGCAGGGTTTGCAGTGTATTACTGCATTTGATTTGAGATGTTTTTGTTGTAGTACGGAGGGTATTTACTTAGCAATGCAGAATAATAATTTTTATTTATAAAAACTTCTTGTATTTAAACTGAATCCTTTTCTAATTTGCGAAACCAAATAGCCGACATTTTGCGGTAGGAGGAGCGCATCGCGTGAGCGGTTATTTAAAATAATAAGAGATTTCCATATTACATTCTTGCTTTGTGAACAATAGGACGTTCGGTAACTATCATTCGATAACTGTCTTCTGAATAACGTAAAAGGCTACACCTTTGCAAGAAGTTCGAGTAATCAAAAGAGTGACGTCATCTCGGTTCGGTTTCGAATACGACAGTTTAACGTTCGATTATCGTAAGGAAGTTCTCAAGTTTGAGACAATGTAATGAGAGTAATGAAGCTATGAGTACCAGAGGCACGAAATTGACACCGGGACAATATACACAACACCCAGACCAGAACCAATTTACAAAAGTTTGTTTCTTAACTGACGCTACTGGTAATCGCCCCGGGACCTCTATATTTTTTTATGATACCAAGTTATAGGACGTACAAGTCGTGCGTCTAGTGGTGCCTGTCAATAATAGTTGCAGTGCTATTCAGAGTTTTAAATGTCAAGGATCTGAGGGGCACTGCCACTGCGCCCGTTACCCTGAGACCAAAGTTGAAAAGTCCCAAGTGCCTGTAATTTCACCAACACCCTTCCCTTCAAAACTGGAACGCAGTAATGCTCATATTACTGTTTGGTGGCAGATGTGACTTAGCCTTAGATTTTGTGGCAGTAAATCCCTGGACGAACTCTTTGACAAGAAGCTCTACTTTTGTATCAGAGGTTGAAAAAATGATAAAAGTCTACGATTGCTTACTTATTCAATGGTATGAATTCCATGAGAGTCCTCGTCTGGGACGTGTAGGGTAGCGCAAAGTGTTGCGCTGCATCGATATGCTGCACCACGCTATATGCCCATTCCGACATCTCGTACAGATTGCCTGCAATATGGAAACCGACACATGTCACTCTTTGCAGATAACTAATGCCTTGCGTTTTTTGCTTGCTTGCGTGACTGGCTTCGCGCATACGTAAAGATCTGTCGCGTACGCGCAGGTAGGACTGTTCACGAGTCGCTCACTTGCGCCGGCCTCTTGCCTTGCGTTGGATTTCTTTGCATTGCGTGAGTTTGATATCTAGCGAGCTTGATATTTCCACGCAAGCAACAAGGAACGTTTGCGGAGGACAGCACCACAAGTCAATCATCAATAGTCAATTAGTGCTAAGCACGCGCGCAAGTCTCTCCGCGGAAGGCAGATTTCTACGCCGTGTACACCAGCCAACGCAAGGATGTAAGTAACAACATCATCATCAACTAATTTTACTTCTCTAAGGGCATTGGCCATTGGAACATTTAGGACTTTACACGTTTTCCAAAGGTTGTGACTCATCTTCAATATGCTGGTTTCTACACAATATTTTTCTTCACCGTTAGCGAGAGGTATATCTACTAAACATTCACAAATGCACGTTACTTATAAAGTCATAGTAGTTCCAACCGTTGATGCTTCAATTCAAAAACACCCGTTCTCCAACTTACCTACAACCGATTTCTGAAGCTAAAAACGATAAGAGCTTCATATACATGAATATACCAATGCACGTTTACCTGCAATGTTACCTGTAAGGTTGCGATTTAAAATATTAATAATTTTCTGCTCAAATTGTGGCAGATACCTGACTTCTAAACTTTGCAATTATTTTGAGCTCACGAACTTGAGGTCCGGGAAAATATGGCGGATTTTGTGAATTTATTATTTGCGATGTTAAGCGATAAGGATATCAAAAATACTATCACGCTTATCTCCCACTGCAAGGTCAAAGACCATCAACCACCATTCGCTACTGTCCTGACAAACCTCTTTTTATACCTTTTGCATCAGTCTCTTCATGTCCATTTTTTTTCAACCACGCCAATTCCTGGTTTAAAACTAGGGTTGCCTATACTATGAGTAATACCAGAGCACCGGAATTCACTTCGGGGCACTACTAGCGCTGGGCGAGTCGAGTTATTTACCTCGATTAACTCGAGTTACTCCCACAACGAATCAATTCGAGTTACTTTTTTAAGAACTCTGCTTTTTTTAAGAGCTAACTCGGTTCGGTCCTCGCCGAACCGACTCGGTGGATTCGGTGAACTTCGGAGCACGCTCGAGTCGCGGTCGGCGCCAAAGAGTACCTTATTACGATCGGCACCCCGTTCGTGTCCAACTCGGTGAATCGTTGGTTCGAGTTGTACTCGCGACTCGCGGTTGCTGTCATACACCGAGTCACGTCAACTAGAGCTTGAGTTGAAAAAAAATACAACTCGTCTCATCGCTAATCGAATCAAAACCGGAACCTCGCTATCCAGCGCCAAAGCAATCCAAAACAATGCAAACCGTTGGCCGTCCATTCATTCTTTATTTTTACTTTTGGAATCTGATCTAGGTCTACCTAAGAATGATATAATATTCACTGTACTTGAATTAAAGATTTAAACTTACGTTCAAATCCACTGCTGCTATTATAATGGCTGAGATCTGGTATATCTAGGATAACGTCCAGATTTTCATCTTGCAGCGACATCATCAGTTCGCCTTTCTTCTTTTTCAGTCGATAAGGATACGTCACTTGGATCGTTGCTGGAACATAAATCAAATGTTCTGAAATGTTTATGATAGTTAGTCTTTGATTAAATAATTAAATACTGGAAGTTGCATACTAATTATTTTTTATAGCAAAATTGACGTAAGTTTGGCCTCAACGTCTTACGTTACGCTTTTGTCTAGAAAATGCCTTGGAAATAAAAATATTTTATCCCGATCTAAATCGTGTATATTTGTTTTTTCAAACAAAGTTTCGTGCTCTTTGCAGGTCCAATGGTAAAAAAAATAAATATACCGTCGATAAAATTCGTAAACCTCGTAACCTCCATTAATCTGAACTTTCGAGGAGGCGTAAAAAACAGGATCTGCAAAATGATATCTTTTATTCCAATTATAAAGACTACGTTTGCATGTCTTTCTTTATAATTAATTAAAACATAATAAATAACCAGAAACAAATATTTGACAATCTATGATTGTGACTTTATTTTATAACTAAAAGGGGGTCTGCTAATTATATTTTAAGCTTTAATTGTCCGATATTGCGCTTGAAGATTAAAAAAGGAATTTCGTCCAAAAAGGAGATATGAGGTTTTCAAATTTAGCCGATGATACGCGATTTAAATCCGAAAAAATAGTTTCATTTCCAATGTTAGGTAACAACCTGAGACCTAAGTAGTAAATGCCTATTAATTTTAACCTTAAGTGAATTAAATTCTGGAAGGATGTAGCAAAGCGCTTCGTGCGAATGGGTGGTTAGTCAATGATATAACAATGGAGTGTTCCAGATTTTCCAGTAGGAATGGTGAAGGTAGAACTAAATTATAAAGTTGCTGCGCACATTCTTAAACGAATGTGATAGAAAACCTACAAGCAGGCCAATTTTCCGCGGTGATCGAAACTTAAAAGCTTCTACAGAGTCGTAGGTCATTAATCTCTTTTCCTGGTATAAAAGAAAAGATCTTTAACTGTTTTTAGTCGACTTCAAAAAAGGAGGAGGTTCGCTATTCGACTATTTTTTAAAGCATGTTCTGCGATCACTGTAACCGTACGGCGCGGCGTCGAGGCAATTAATTGGTGCGATTGTTAGACACGTTTTCTAAATTTGTCGATCGTATCTTTAAACGGAAATGATCCCAAGGTTCAAGACCCTTATCAACAATGTGATAATTATGCCTCATCGGCGTAATGCCTGAGGCCGTGCGGGAACAAAGACACAATGGGTAGCTGGAGAGACCCTCGAGCACTGCGCATCGATCCGTGATCAATTAGTTCACTGACATTCTGCCGGACACATGGTCGGATAGAATGGGTGAGACCAGGCTGTTTAAAACATCGATCAAAGACACTCCAACCATGAAATTCAATTTAGTTTAGTTTCCGATTTGGTCTGTGTTTCAAAGGAAATAATTCCAAACCACACACGTTTATTCTTCACTAGCCCGTAATTCCGTCTACATTGGGGATGAAAAGACTTTGTTGTGGGCTTTGTACACTATTATATCTTGGCTCGCTGACCTCCAAATGACATTCAGAATGATTAAGTCTTATTGAGGTACGAGATGGAAGTTTTAGAATTAAAGCTAACTTCTTTGTGTTTAAAAATGTCGAACATGCCGATCAAAAGCACGCTATCGTAACGTAAGTAGCTGCCAAGCACACTCTAGTTCCTTTGATAAAATTAAAATAGTGTTCTATCAAACAGTTGCTGGTGACATTTTACACCTTGCTCGTTTTTCTTTATCACTGTAAGTGACTGGTGACATTTTTGCCAGCGAAATTATTATGAATATTTTACAACGTGGTTCTGATTTTCTTTTACACTTTGCTTAAAAGCTTCTGGTCTTTTTCAGGTCGATAGGTAGACAGTCGACTTTGGGCTGAGTTACGATTCTACTCATTTATAATAATGAAAATGTTTGTAACACTTACCATTTCCCAAAAATTTTTTCAAAGGCCCTGAAAAGTTAATAGTTTTAATTTGAGTAATAACGGTGACATTTGGCGTCCAGCAAAGGACTTTTGGAAAAAGAATATCTTATGAATTTGTATTGTTTTCTAAAGTGTAACGTTAACTTACCGGTATGTGGCTCGGCGGCGAGAGCTGTAGAATAAAATTAAAATGATTAAACAATGACTTTACTGTACAATTTCAATGACATTTCACAACATTGATTAATTACGAAGATAAAGGGGAGGAATCAAGTAGAGATAAAAGACAGTGGTTGATTGGGTGAATTTATGGAAGATAGCTTTATTTTATATACGTGATATATAAACATGAATGTTCCTTTAATATGTCCATCGATTCTTATTTATCCAATTGCGATACAACTTTTGTGAAATATTGTGCCCACGCCCCCGAAAGTTTCTGAAGCACTAGAACCACTTTAAAATATCAGGTGATCTCGTTATTGCAACAACTGTATCTATACCCGAAAAGGCTATACTGGGTGTAATCGTTAAGTGTAGCCAGGCGATTATTCCGAAAAAATAAAACTAGAAATATCCAAAATGTTGACGTTAAGCGTACATTTAATATGACATTCGTAGAGTGACTAGTTGACCCACTTTAGGAGGTAACCATAAGTTTACAGATTACAAAATATAAATAAAGTAGTAAAAGTATCTTTTAATTGAATAAAAACAAAGTGATGTTTATTATTACGTAAGTATGTATGGACGTGGACGCCCAAATTTACGCACGTTAAAATTTTGGATATTTCTGGTTTTATTTTAAAAGTTATTAGTGTCGTTTAACTAATTAGGTAACGTACTTTCGATAACAATTTAAAGATTTTTTATATATCTCTTATATCTCTTTACATAACGCACACACTCAACATAGCCCCGCACTAGGGAAACCCTGTGTCGCGGGTGTCATGGACACACACATAGACAACCACAAATTACACGCAAACTCACGAGAGAAATAAATGTAGGCCATACAAACATTTCTCCCGGCCCGGGAATCGAACCTGGGACCTCTGCGTGGCAGTCCGGCATGGTAACCGTTCGGCCACGGAGGCAGTTAAAAAGTAAAAGTCTTTGATCACACTTAACGATTACACTCTGTTTATGCCAATGCATAGTCTAGATCTCGCTGTTTTAAAAATAATACAGTACGTACAAAAAATAATACAGTTTTTTAATAATTACGAATGGATAGTAAGATACTTTATAATTAAAAGTAAAAATGTAAAGCAGAAAGAAGAAAAAAATAGTGAAAAAAATACATAAGGAGAAAGGAGTACTTATCCCAGAACAAAAAGCACGGTATAACATTGTAATATTACTTGGTCATTGCTAGCCCAATAACTAAACAAATATTTTCACAAAAGCGCGCAATATGTAAAACACTCTGATTCAACAGACAAAAACAAAAAAAAAATTCGAGAAATACACAAAAAGAACATGGACAAACATAAAACTGCAAAGACTAAAAATATTGACAAAGTTTAACTGGGTGACTATCTTGAATACATATTGTTTGAAATTAAGACATTCTTGCATGACACCTAAAAAATTCTTGATGTAAAAAACACCTTACGTAGCAGCAGCTGTAGCGACGTCGACTTGGAATTAAATGGTCATAGGTTATTAAATAAGTCAATTTCATCTGACTCGTAACTTTTCGGGGAATATCTGTTCCTGTTATCGGTTGTCGGCAACCTGGAGCTCCTTGGCATACATTGAGCACAGATAGACCTTAACTTTGGCGCTAATATTGAGTTTAAAGCACAAAGTGCAGCCAAAAAGCTAGGCATCCTTAATAAGGTAACGCGATACTTCTAGCCTGAACAGCTTTTAACTGTATACAAAACGAAAGCTCGATCTTGCATAGAGCATTGCAGTTATCCCTGGGACAGCTCAGCGAAATATCAACTAGAGATTCTTGACTCGATTGAAGGCTGCTTGTTTGTCGATTTTCTTCACAATATACTTTGGTGAGTGTGCTCATTACGTACGCTATCTTTTCTTCTATTTTGCACTATTGGTATCTCGAGGAGTTTGTCCGTATATGGATTATTTTTTTCGTCAATCCAATCGGAGTCTAAAGTGTTTAACAATAGAAACATGAGAAATACCAAATAAAGATAAGAAGCAACCAAACAATATACTAAAAACAATGCAGTACACGAACACAATGTGCAATGACCAATATGATGACAAGACATGCATGGACAAAACAAAAATAGACCAGGCAAAATCTACAAACAAAAATATACGATAAGTCGGAGACGGTGGTTATCTCACCAAGAGTGTTTACAATATATTCTTCAGGATCTTGTTGCCGTTTGATGACAGACGTCAACGTCACACCGTTCCGTAATTTCTGTAGCATCCACACGACACCACCTTCCTGATACGCTGGAATTACAATCTATGATCTAAATGAACATCTATGTCCTGATAAGATGTTTGGCCGAATTCGATTTATCGTAATAATCCTAGAAGTCGACTTTTGTGCATTCGTCAATAGTAATCAGTATTTTAAGACAAAAGTAAGAAGCAAGATTAAAATAATGCAGTGTATGAGGGAGACAGAAATAAAAGAAAAGAAAAGCAAAAATAACTGTTATAGATAATGTTTTACCATTGTCGGGTTTGGTACAGACAACCGTGTCATTCATGACCTGTTGGATTCTGAAAGGGAGCTGTATCGTCCAGATTAACTCCTTGCTGATACTGTCTAACCTGAAATTAGTAATTTTTATTGTTAAAACAGTATTGAGCAGTCTTAAAATGTCCCAGTCCCACATGCTAAAAGTACAAGTTTCACCAGTCATGTCAAATTTAGCAAACATTTAGCAAATCTAACTTCAAAAATTTAAATAAGTAAGTAGTTACTGATATCCGGTGAGCTCACTATCTTCTAATCCCATCAATTTTATACAAGTGCCGCTGTCTCCATATTTGAAGGTATATGGCTCATAGGTTGGTATGTTAAGCAGATCGTTGCCCATGAGCACATTGTCTCGGAGTTCTCTGTATTGCCGTCGGAAGCATTCAAAGTCTGTTGTTCTACATGATACTATGTAGCGATCTGAAATAATTATAACTTCTTTATAAAAAACGACCGACCGCTCACCGTTACCGGAAAGTGTGCGAACGGATACATCTCCTAGTTTGCCACCATTAGAGGTGAAATATTTTCTTCACATTTAAATGAGAACAACAGTGAGGTTACCCTCTTCCCAACAAAATATAATCATTAAAACCAGTTTATGGTATACACACAAGAAAATACATTCGAATTAAGAAACGCCTCTTTTTTTAAGTCGGTTAAAAATTAAATGGATTCTATGTCGGTTGTCAGCCTTTCCCGGTTGATTATTCAATAATAATAAATGAATCTGCCAGACGGCCTCACCAATCGCCTGATCTCACTCTAGGAATTCCGTGTACTATGGATACCAGAGCACATCCCAGACCACCAAGACAAGAATAAATTTAAAGAATTATATTTAGGTTTCACACACGCCGGTGGTAAAAACCAGAGATTGTTATTTAGTTTCTATATCACCTTTAAATTGAATTTTTACCAAAGTAAGATTCGCCTTTATTGCCACGCTAAATAAATAAATAAATGAATATTAGACAACATCACATGCGTTGTTCTCATCCCAGAGTACCACAAACACCCAGACCCGAGACAATATAAAAAAGTTAGTTTCTACGGTGACCCGGCCGGGGATCGAACATGAGACCTCAGAGATGGCGACTCCATGAAAACCGATGTGCAATCCACTTTGCCCCGGAAGACGTCAAAAATCGGGTATACACTTTATAATTTATTATTATAACATTATGTAATTATGGTTCCTCGTGCGTCATTCTTTTTTGAAAATGGAGTAAAATGACATGTGCCAGTTTAGTCATGTAGTAGTTGTCGTCAGTTTTATCGATAATTTTGTCAAAAATTACTTAATTGCGAATGTTACGGTGAAACCATGAAAACCGGTGTGCAAGCTACTCGTCTACGGAGGCCGTCCAATATAAGTGTAAATAAATGCTTTATAAATGGACCGAACACAAGTTTGCTTGGTTAATTTTAATGTAGAAGATGAAAAGATAGAAGGAAAAAAGGTGAAGGTATTGTCGAAATACAGTTGGGTATAAGTATGTTTCTAACTTTGGTTCTACAGGACCTTGCGCAAATTAACAACAATATTAGCCCTTGACACAGAACGAGGGCAATTATAACTTTGAAACCTTTGCCTGTCTATTTGTAAGTCTATCTATGGCTTCATGGTTCTGTAAGCGGTTTTTTTATAGAGTTTGTAACATTGACCTACCAATAAAATATAACATCTTCATTGCCACGGAACGAACCAACGGACCTCACGAATTTCTCTATGTGCTTGCGTCGTGTCTTTGTACTTGGTCTTTCAACGACTTTTTAGTCGTAGCGCCATCTATGAGAAATCTATTACAGATTTATCACCCAGTTAGTACCTTTACAGCTACCAGTCCTGGCGAGAGATGTCGCTATTCACTGTGTTAATTAAATTTTTATTGTATTGAATTTTTATCGAATCCGACCGGATCGAAGGAATTTTGAATTCGAAATCGAGTTTTTTTTTTTTGAGTGTTCGATCTTTGTATTAATAATTATAACACAGTAGTGGAGTAATTTCACAAAAAATAATTGAATATCAATTCAATAAAAATTTAATCTTCATTGTTTTATAATTTTTTTTATTGAATTGATATTCAATTATTTTTTGTGAAATTATTCCACTAGTTTGTTATATACATAATCTTCATTGTTACTGCTTTATTTTAGTGAATATCTTGTATTCTTGTAATTGCTCCTTATGACGTCATTCAAGGCAAAATTACTGGAGAAGAGAAATTACGAAGAAGGCGCCACTCCTGGTTGAAAAATTTGAGGGTTCGGCTACAGTTCCACCTCGCTCTATAAAGCGTCAGCCTTTAAAGTCAGGATTGCCTAGATGTTGTCCAACCTTCGATAGGAGAGGAACTCCAAGAAGAAGATTCTTTAATGAAAGTTTTAACTATGCCAGAATATTTATTTTGTGCGAGCAATGTTAATTTTTTAATCTCGCAAAAACGTAAAAGGTTAAAACCTGTTAACGATTTCGGGCCATTCTCTTTTTACCAATTTTACGCCGCTACGAGGGTGAAAATTCTAAACCCGATAAATATTTATGAGGAGAAACCAGCCGCATCATATTTGGACAAAATGTTTTATTAACAAGTACTCAATTCTTCCTCTGGGCGTGTAATCAAGATTTTTGATAACTTTTTTTTGTATATAGTGTTAGAACATTTTGTGATGGCCACGTTTGTTAGAATATTTCAACAATAACTTTTATTCTGTTAAGGTAAGATATATATTACACTATCATCAGTTGTACGTCTCATTGCTGAGCCCGGGTCTCGTCAATGGAGAGAGTTGGAGACTGGATGCGTTTTTCAGGGGCTGTGAACCTTTTTCGAGATGCGGGTTAAACATACTCAAATGTAAGTACGTTAGAAGTTACAGCACAGGTACATGCTGCCACAGGAAGTCAGACCCGGGGTCTAGTCTCTTTCTCCATCCGACATCCCGTCTGAAGTAATTACTGTCAAATAAGTAAAACATGTCGACCAAATTAAATAATAATTTATTCAGTACAACAACAGTAATGCCATAGGCGACAAAAACACATACTATCTAGGTTGTACATACTCTGACAGAAAAACAGTGGACAGGCCATCAATCAGTTCCCAAACCAGGCTAACCCTGTACTTTGGGAGCTGATGACGATCCTACGCCAGTAAACAAAATTACAAATATTTTACAACCGGTTATTATAATAAATAGATAATTAAAAGACGCGTAATGCGAATTAAGCTTCATACTTGAAATTGTCTTACAATTGAGTCGAGTATTGCTTATTTAATAGTAATTGTTTCAGACGGAGAACGAGGTACAGGGCCTGAAGCAACCATTTTCAAATGTGGTGATACATTTCGTGTCGACGCAAAACTTCTGATTAGCCTAATGCGATTCGGAGTCGGTGACCGTGGTGACTGTCTTAGAATACTGATTATTTCTAGCTTTAACGGTGAAAATGAAAGTGAAAAAGTTCTACAAATACTTTGTTGAAGTCACGCCGCCATCGGCTTCGAACTGGCCGCTCTATGCACTATGGATAAATGCAATAGTTTCATAGAAACTTATTTATAAGTTTATTTTTATACAGCTCACTCAGCAGCAGAAATGATCTACAAAAGAAAACTGCCCCATAATGTTACTTTAAGCAATCGTCTTGAGTTGAAGGTTATTTAAATACTTGCTGGTAGCGAACGACAGGTTATCGAAAAGTCAAGAGGCTCGATGTTTTTATCTGAAAGGGTCTAGCTCAAAACCATTTTGTGTTTGTGGACTCAAAGATGGAACATATTCCAAAGTCAAACACAAAACGTATCGAGTATTTCGGAAAAACCAGATAATAAAAGATCAAAGGCCATACCGAAAACATCAGGTAATTTCTTAGGGAGATTCTAATATGCTTATCTTAGGAATTTCAAACTTTGAAACGGCAAGGATGTCTTCACATTTTCGTGAATATTGAAGAAATGAACTTGAAGGCGACAGTTAGTTTCTAAACACCCCTTTGTTTTCGTTCGTTTGTCTTTATGATAGGACAAAGGACGGACTCTGCCCCTTTTTGTGACCTTGGAAGTTCTTGAACATTAATCTTAAAAAGTATTAGTTTGTTTTGTCGTATATTGTTCTTGAAGATCTTTACTATTTAGGAGATTGCAAAACAGAATAAGTGGATACAGTAATAAGGTTCTTGGTGGTACGTACTAAAAATAATTAACATCCATCTTCCTTACTTGGCTGTTTTTGTATTTCGGCTGAACTAATTTAGAATACGAATTTTCTCAAATTAATTCTAACCTGGTTCTAGGTTGTGGTCTCGAATTTAATTTTGTTCTCTCTAATATGTTGCTCACGTTATAGGGAATTACTTAGTTGAATGTCAGGCTAATTGCTGTTATTTTCTTGCACATTTATTTCAGTGTAATGGCCACGATCTGCAACGTCGTCACGTTCAAAGGGTAAAGAAAAGGGATAGCTATGAAAGCGGTGACATCAGCTGATAGCAATTGTATTCGGGTTACCGGTGATCTCACAAACGTCCAATATGATGTTTATTTACGAATGTCTGATATTTCCGACATGTCATTGAGAACAGTTTAGACAATAGACATGTTGTAATGTTAGTTTATGTAACAACACCTAATTGGAACTTTGATGCAAAGAGACGGAATAATCTAAATGTGTACTGTTTATATTTCTGTTTCTATCAAAAGGAAAATAGACTGTCTGAGCTTTGCTGCCTACGAAAACCTCTAACTGCCGACAATCGATACCAGTGAAGCGAGAACGGAGGCAGTATTCACAAAAGTGGATACATAACGTAAAGTAGTGGCCTGTACTAAGTAATTACAGACACTGCTCAGAAAAACATCCAAACTGAGATTCTACCACCTGCTGAATTCTAAAGTTAGTTTGGATAATGGCACCGTAACTATGAAGAGTTTTCGAGGACTTCAAAGATTTGGTTCTGTGATAGTATTTCGTATTAAAACAAACTAGTGGAGTAATTTCACAAAAAAAAAAATTAATTATATTTATTACTTGTGGAATTAAATAGAAATGGAAACTATTTATTGCAACCATTAACTTACAAATAAATGGACGACGGGTCTAATACAAAAACCACGAAAAAAAAATGTCCCAAGTCAACCTATTTAAACGTAGTGACATGTAAAGGAATATGAAAAATCTAAAACGTTTAATTTAAATTGTAATGTCATCGCAGTACTGTCTAATTTTGCTTGCTTCGCTGTCAGTCGAACAAACGAAGACTAAAACGTAAATGACGCTCTGTATACGCTTTTAACGCCCTATAAGTTTGGACACTCTTTAGCGCGGACCCGACGTCCATATAATTGTAAGTCAATGATTGCAACGCCCCGTTATAAGAAAAAAAGTAAAACAAAAACAGCATAGTTAACATT